GTCACTTGAAATGCTGGTGTCTGGCTGAATTGCAGCTTGTGACCACGGGAGGAGGACCTCGAGGATGAGGCAACATTCCAAGAAGGTGGAGTGGACAGAGAAAGCATGGGGGTGAGAAGGAGAAAGCCCAGGTGACACGGAACCAGCGGGTCGCACGGACCCACTGAACCAAAGCAAATCCCACCTACTTCTGGATATTTAATGGTGTGGGAGAACATTGCTGAAGCAAATGCGAGTTGTGTTTTTGCCTCCTGCCTCCTGCTTCTGAGCACATACCTAACTGATACCTTGCTAATCCTTTGCCCACATGGAATTCTAGGTTGGCTGCCAACACCTGCAGTGGATACCCCAACGATTCCACAGCATCCTAAGTCAGTAGTGACCTGAGAATCAGTACTCTAGAAACATCTGTAAGTGAGAAATCCTCCAACATGCACTACTGTGCTTGGGGAAACTGCCTGTATTCTCTCTAGAGCTCTCTCTGCTTTAAATGCTTATTCAATCTCAGCAATAATCATGTCATGATCCAGTGATCATCGCACTTTGACACATTGTGGGGTGCCTTCTTAGGAAGATAGTTGGGCAGGACTTGGATGGCACAGAACCCTAAATTGCTAGACCCCAAATTTCCTATAGAACACCATGTTACCCGTGCTGTGTTGCTGGGTAGCACCAGTAACAGAAGGAATAAAGCAAATCTATTACTCCATTACTATAACCACTTCAAGCTAATTATTTAAGTGAAGTGGTTTTGCCCTAATTATGAAACATTACTCAATTAAATTCCATTTGACTACCCATAACCTATGTTCAAAGAGCACTTCATATACAGCCACCTTTAATCACAGCACAAAGCACTTGAGCCAATACTTCATCTGCGTAAGTGGCAGTGAAACCATAGTACACAGCATTCTTCCTGCTAAAGGAAACCTCCAGCCATGACGTCTGTGCAAGACCAGGGTTTAGAAATAATGAGCAACTGGCAGTACCCACTTAGAGTATTTTGAGAGGTATGAAAATGACACCCAAATTATATTTGTCCTTTAAAGCTCCCTCCAAAAGCATCCTTGTTTCAGAATATAAAATGGTGAAAGTTATAGTGTAATACAAGTGATCTCATCTCCTCAAAGCCAGCAGAAAACACAATAGGGACTTTAAGAGACAATTTGCTGTGAGGCATGGAAGTTATTTTATCCAAAAAATAGGTCAGTGCCTATAGTTTCATGGGAAAGGATTAGTTGGAACTCAGCAAGTGCTCTCTCATTCAGCACCTGGTGTGCATCAGGCCATGTGCTGAGCACTGGGCCACCAGCAATAGCAGGGGAGACACCGTGGCTGCTGTCCTTGAATTGACAGTCTGGGGGTGGGTCCAGGTGATAAATAAGAAGGTGCAAAGGTTGGCGCTGACAGATCAGGATGAGCCTTGGAGACGGACAGGTCAGGAGTTCTGCACAGCCATCTTCGTGTTACATTTCCCTAATAAAATTCCTTCTTGGTCTAAAGAGTGGGGACCAGCGGGAGAGGAGTGGGACTGGAAGCCAGGAGCCCTGCTGACAGGGGCACAGGGCACACAGGAGCAGTGGGAACCCAGAGGCAGGGGCATTGGGGACGAGAAAGTGAGCCAGCAAGCAGGGAGAGCAAGGAGGTGGGCTGGAAGGGCTAAGTGAATTACTGGGCATTGTGTGAGAGGGATTATGATTCACCTGTCTCAGTCAGTGCCCAGGAAGCCAACTGTCTTTAAGAAGTATGAGCCAGGAGTTTCCAGAGGACACAGCACTTGCCCCACCATCACTCTGTGACCACGGAGCTGGAGCACCAGAGCCAGGGGACGCCTGAAACGCAGCTTCTCTCTGGGTGCTTCGCACTGGTTCCTGTGGGATCCTCCTGGCTTGCTTTACCCGCCAGGGATCCTCTGGGCAAAGTGCAGGTGATGGATTTGCCATACAGGGCACTGAGCTGAGCAGCCTTTGAAGGAAACTCACATGGCCTCTGTGCTAGGGGAAGAAGGGCCCACCTCACGTCGGGTCCGGGCTAGACACTACCTGTCATCTATTGAATGCACTATTATTCCCATACTCTGATGAGAAAAGCTCAGGTTCAGACGGGGTAAGTGATCTGTCTGAAGTCACATGGTTAGTAGTTTACAGGGTCCAAGTTCAGGTCTGTCTGGTTCTGAAGAGCATGTGCAGCCTTAGCCTGATGCCCCTCTGAGCAACATTCAGCAGTAGAGTGAACAGGGCTAGTCCATTTTTTAGTATCTTAAAACCAGATGGTGCCATGTGACAGCCCACTTCAACCAAATTCCCATCTCAAGCCTCTGACTTCTGACCCACCCTGTTGATAAGCCCCTTAATTAACGTGTCTGCTGAAACTTAATACTGTAATCAATCCTCAGAGAGCACTGTGGGACTGACCTTTCACCCCCTTAAAGAAAGTACGGAAGACTTTTTCCTGGTCAAATGCCAATGAAATCCAGCTGCCTGCAACTTTAACCCCAGGCCAGATGGTTTAAATATTAAAATTTCTGCCAGTGTTTCTTTTTACTAACCAATCTTGTTTGTTTTTGAACTTAAGGCTACAATCCATTAGTGATCCTAGAATCAATTTAGTGGGTCCTGTCAGCCTTTTAAAATATCAGACTAGAATAGAACAGAACAGAAAATACTAAAATACATCCCGTTCAGTGAAGGATGTTGTTTTGCGGCACTTACATTTCAGTTGTCGTTATAGTACGCGATGATAAAGAACGCATCTCCGAGGCCGGGTTGTGGAGGCTCCTCAAAGAGCAGCTCCCCCTGCCCGGGGCGGAAAGTAAACTTGCACACAGAGAAACTGAAGGACAAGAAAGGCAGAAGGTGGAGTCTTCAGGCAGGAGAGTAACAGCTCACGATAAAATGAGATGTTCTTGCCAACATGTCCTCCAAGGCGGTGGCCTGAGAGACACTTCCCCGTACAGTAAATTACTCAGTGGTGGCAACTCTGCTATTTGTCCACATCTGAAGGTTGCTTTGTGGACAGGCTTTGTGGGTATCCAGCTTGCGCCTTTCTGAAAGCTGCTGCGTGAAGCAAAGAGTGTGTTGCTCTCTGCAGCATTTTACCAGTCAGGGTCGCTTACTGTGACCCCATGTCCCCTCACCCAGTTCCAACAATGGCCAGGCCATGGCCAGTCAGTTTCATCTGTACCCTACCCCCTCCTCAGATATCATATTGTTTTATCTATAAGTATGTCAGTGTACATTTGCAGAGGAGAGTTTTTAACCTTGGTCTCTACCGGAGTCCTCCAAATCTAAATCTCACAAGCTGCAGCTGAGAACGGCATACCCCGAGCTGTGACCAACACACAAAAACAGGCATCAGGCCCCAGAAAAAGCAAGTCAGATGGCTTAAGTTCCTTCCTCATCAAAGACCCCAAAAAGGAAACCTGGTCACATCTCCCAACACAGCCTCCAAGCAAAAAATGAGGGGAACAGAATGGTTTTATGAAAAGAAGTAGGGTGGGCATAAATTAGGAGCTTGGCGCAGGCTGCATGGCTGAGCCCCAGAGAATGCCTGGTCTGCCACTGACACTTTCCGGCCAAGCAGCTGAGGTCAGAGAGAGACAGCCACTTGCGCTAAAGGCCCAGGGACAGCTCTGATGATCCTCAGTCATCTCGCAATGTCAGGAGAGGGTGAGTTGTTCACGAGATGGCCCCTAGTCAGAGTTGGAAAGGAAAGTTTCACCCTGATGCTGACTACAACCTCAGAATGTCTTCAAAATTGACATCTGAATCTTCATTTTTCCTGAGTCAAATCCCTATACCTTTAACTTCCTGCAGATCAATCCCATTTTTAAAGGAAACTCATCATGTCCAGAATCTTCACAAGGCTATCTCCCTCCCAGCACCTGACTCCTTCCTTTTCACTCTTTGGCTCTGCCCTGCCTCAGGGTCCCGTCCACCCTTCCCGGCCAGGTCTTCCAGGGCCTCCCACCTGGAGGCCCCCAGCCCGCTCATCTCCACAGGGAGCCTTCACTTCACCAGACTGGTTTTCTCCCCATCACCTGATGCCCCAGGCTGGGTCTGTGCAGGGGGGACCCTGCCAGGAGGCCCTTCCCATGTGGGACACCTTTCTCCCCCTGCTGCCCCAGACTATCTCCGTCCTTCCGGGCCTCCCTCAGTTCTCTGGGCTTCAGGAAGCCTCGTGTTCCCAGACACCCACACCTCTATCTCTCCAGCTATCTGGGCACATTGCTACTTTTTAGTATTGCCTTTTAACTGTCTTATCTTGATTCAGATAAGGTAGTCACCTCATCTAGCCGCTACTCTCCCTTAGTCTCCAAGTCCTGTTTGTGGAGTAGTGCCCATGGGAATCAGGAGAGCCTGCTGCTCCATGCAGTAGCAGGGCACTGTGGCATGAGCTCTGGAATCAGCACACCCTGGGCCAGCAGCCCAGTTCCAGCTCAGTAGCCATGGCCCGAGGGTAAGTTAAATGGCCGGCCTTTCTGAGCCTCTCTCTCCTCATGTAACACAGGGAGAGTTATATCCACCTAAACAGGGCAAATGCAAAAATGTGTGCCTGCCCAGATGGTGTTGAGAAACTGCAGGTGTGCCTTAGGAAGCCGCCAAAGGCTTAGGTCTCACATCACTGGGGAGGCCCATGCCATAGGCCAAGCCCATGTAAAAGTTTCAGGCAAACAGAGTCAGTGCTGAAGGGATGTGGCAGGTATTCTATTAGCTGTAATTATTACAGACTCGGCAGGAAGTGCAGGGTGCATGAGAGAAACATAGTAATCAGAGGTAATTAAACTGAACCTGGTGGTGCAACCTAAAAAACGTCTGTTGTGACTGCTGGAACATGTGAAGGGCTGAGCTCCAGCCTTAACTTTGAACTTGGAAAATGTGACTCACAGAACACAGCAACAGAAGAGAGGCATTGAGATTAGAAGTGACAGCTCTGTGCCGTCCGTCTACAAGGGAGGTTGGGAAACAACAGCAGGTAGATAGACATTTGGTGACACTAACCGTCACTGCCAAGGGTGCCGGCTCCGCAGACATCAAAAAGCCCAGGCCCTGCTTTTTCTTTGCTGGTGGTGAAATTGTTTGTAACAGCTATCACCTGTGGCGAGCATTCAAGGTGTACTACCAGGCCTGGGAAAAGTCCTCTGCCGGATAGCTCAGCCTGCTGCCACTCCTCCGGGCTGGACTCGCTCAGGCCAGAGGGCACTTAGAGGACGGGAGAGGGGACATTGCCTGGTGGGAACCACACACCGTCCAAGGATGCAGGCTCTCTCAACCTGTTGCCCTGGCTTCTGTAAACTTCCACAAAGCTTCCTATTTGCCCAGCTTTCCTAGGCCCCACCTCTCCCTTCTCTCCTGCGCCTGTGTGTCCGGACTTTGGACCTCACACCCGCTACAGCTAAGAGGGCTGTGGGGGAGGGGCCAGAGTCCCCAGCTCTCCACTGAGACTTACAGTTCTCTGACGCTGGAGATCATTTCATTTCTGTGCACACACTCAGTGCTCAACGTGGATTCACATGTGGGGCAGCAGCCACCCCTGTAGCAGGCTCAGGAGAGCCCACCTTGGAGTCAGCCACACCTCCATTCGGATTGTGGCTCTGCCATTTCCTGGTTCTCAGACCCTGGTGACATTGGTTGCTATCTCTGCCTGCCACTTTATGCCACTGAGAAGTCAGCATCTACAACTTACGGTTAAATATTACATTGAACATCACCCCTACTTATGAAAGATAACATAATACGTATATAGTAAGCCCTCCAACAAGGGCAGTGATTATTATAATTATTAGACCATGTGTCGAGGGCAAAAGTCTTCTATTGCTAGTATTTTCTCAGACATCTTTAGGGCCTGCTAACCACCAGCTGGTTGAATTTACTCTTCGAGCATTTATTGGATGCCTCCTTGTGCTAAAAGAACTGGGGACACACAGTGACAGGCAAAGTTCCTGCCGTCACGGAGTTACTACCTATTAGGGG